GGCAACAGAGTGAGATTCTGTCTCAAAAAAAAAAAAAAAAAATTTTTTTTATTTTGAAGTAATTTTAGATTTGCAGAAAAGTTTCAAAGTTAGTGCAGGGAGTTCCTGTATACATTCCACCCAGTTTCCCCTAATGTTAACATCTTACATAATCATAGTACATTTGTCAAAACTAAGAAATGACTATTAACTAAACAGACTTTATTTGGGTTTCTCCAGGTTTTCCACTAATGTCCGTTTATTTACCAGAGTCCAATCCAGGACACCACACTGAACAGTTCTGGTCCAGCTTGGCTTATTCAAGGACTGTGTGTATGAAGAACTATGTGTAACCCATTCTTTATTCTGCTTTTCCAACAGTGTTCTCTGATTTTAAGGACTTGGTTGGCCAGATATTAATGGAAGTGCTAATGATGTCCACTCAGACTAGAGATGAAAACCCATTTGCCAGTCTGACAGCCACATCACAGCCAATTGCAGCAGCAGCTCGGTCACCAGACAGAAATCTCATACTCAACACTGGCTCCAATCCAGGAACAAGCCCCATGTTCTGCAGTGTGGGTTCCTTTGGTGCCAGCTCTTTGTCTAGGTGAGTGTGGTTCTCTTTGCACATCTAACTGGTAGTACAACAGCCATGAAGGATGTAGGAGCAGGGAATGTTTATTCACAGTGATAATCTCTGTCATGCACACTGTGGCATGTATTGTATTTGGAGGGGTGGAGTTAGTCATTGGAAGTGGTACTGTCTTTTCAAGATTGTTTTTTGTTTGACTTTCCATGGTTAGGCTATTGGTAGATTAAATTTTAGAAACAAATTGCTGTGGATATACTACATTATTCTCTGTAAAGGAGGCTTTAGCATACTAGAAGTGCAGCCTCTCATCAACACAGAAATTAGATTATAATTATTTAGATGCTTATCTGGTAGATCTGTATACATGAACTCTTGGAGATACGAAATGCGATTGTACTATCCTTTAAAAGCTTGATATTTTCCATTTAGTTATCTCAAGTTTTTCTTTGATTTTCTCTTCTTTCTTCCTTTTCTCAACTAATTTAGCCTCTATGAAACTAGTCCTGCTCCGACCACCAGTTTCTGGAGCTCTGTCCCCATGATGAGCCCGTCTTTTGCCTCACCCTCCCGTGCAGCCAGCCAGATGGCTGTGCCTTCCTCTTTCCTCAGTCCTCAGAGTGCAGCTTCTGGAACTGCTGCAGGAAGCCAGCCCTCGTCCCCGCGGTATCGTCCCTATACTCTCACTCACCCGTGGGGGTCCTCACCTTCTCCCACCCCACGGTCCTCAGGCATCTCTGTTCTGTCCAGCTCCCCAAGCCTCCCTGCCCCCACCAGTAGCCCCCAAGCGGTGCCTGCCAGCAGTTCCAGACAGAGGCCCACCAACATGGGGCCACCTTTCCCGCCCGCCTCACCCAGTGCCGTGAGCAGACGTCCCTCCTCCCTGAGGATCTCTCCTAGGTATTTATGCAGCAGGAGAGTTGCGTGTGTGTTTGCGGTGCAGGGAAAGGACATTAACATGGTTTGGAAGAAATGCTGTGTGACACTGACCTCGGTTAAATTTTTGTTGTTTTGGGTTTTTAACCTGTGTGGCTAACTAGTTTGGTAAGCACACACCCCAAGTCCACACTTCTGCCGGGCTCTGATCGCATCGGAAAGTATGGGTTGCTCTGTCACGAGCCCCTTCCTTCCCCTCACTCTTCCTCCTTCCTGTAGGAGAAAAAAGAAAGAACTTGGTTTTTTGCAATCTAATTCACATGTCATTCCTCATTACATGTGAATTTAAGAGGCTGTGGTCAGTGTTGTATTTGAGAGTTGGGGCTCACAGCAACCCTTTTTGACTCTTTGTCCTATTGCCAGTGGTAGTTGAAATGCGGTCAGACCAAGGGTTTGTGGGAGCAAATCAGGGCCTGGTGTCCTTCCTTCTGGTGAGCGGGGTGGATCAGCTCATGCCTTGACACTCTGAGTTTTGGTCGTACACGATTTCAGCCTCTTAGAAAGAAACGGTATCAGAATTCCACTAGTCCAGTGGCCCCTTCTCTCAAATGTACCTATGTATTTCTGTAATTTAGATGAATTATATTCCTGCATGTCAGTGAACAAAACTGTAAGTGTAAGATTTATTTAAAAGGACAGCAGTTGCAAAAGCTTCTCCCTGTCTTGTTTTTCCTTTGTTCCCTGATGACCTTTTTTGCTTTTGTTGTGGTAGTATGTACGACAATCCCTTCTCCTTCCTCTTCCTCGCACTTTCTGGGGACAGTAGTGATGAAGAAGATGAAGAAGATGATGATGATGATGGTGATGGTGATGATGAAGGTGGTGGTGGTGGTGATGATTTTTCTTGTGTCCAGTTTGGGTCCAGGTATCAGAGGAATGGAGTATGATGCCTGCATGTGCGTAGGTGCTTAGGAACTAACTTTCGTAAGCTCTAATTCGGGGTGTGCTTTGAATCCAAATGGGACAGGGTCAGATGAGGTGGGCTAGAGAGTGCATTGAAGTGTTCAGACTTTATCATGGGGTAAAGTGGCGCACATAGGAAAAATTTCATAGTTGCTGCCTGGTAAGTTTGGAGGAAAACTTACATAAAATCATTAGTCAAAAACATGAAAACCGATTAAAGATTAAAGATCAGTTATCATTAAGTTCACCCTTATTTATAACTTCAGATATAAAATGAGGATTACTTCATTTATCTATCATGAGAATGTCATGAGCTACCAAATGTAAGCAATGTATACTCTGTTAGGCATATTTTCTTAAGTATACTTGCATGGATTGCTGCTATTTAGGGATGAGAGAGGGTCTGGGACTTGGGGAGGGAGGGATGGGAGGTCAGTCTGGGCAATCCCTTATGGAGACTCCCAGTATGGAGTCATGCTGTCTGGTGTGACTGTGATTCTGCTTTCATATCTAACAGTTCTCTCAGCACCTCCTGGGCCGCAGTGAAGCCAGATCCCATTTGTTTAAAGAGCCTTTGGAATGACAACAGAGGCTAAAACACAGTTCAGGATGTTGCTGAACGTTTACCCCTGAAAACTGAGTGAAAAACACTACTTGGGTTTTCTAGGTGACTTTGAGCAAGAGAATATAGTAGCACCTTTTTTCTAGATACACAATTACTATGTACCCATAATAATTAAAAATAAAAATAAATAATAGCACCTTCTTTCTAATCCTCTGAGTCATTGCTTTATAATTTTGCTCTTAAATTGAAGTTTCCTCTGAACCAAGTTGGTATTTTTTCCCCCAGCACCGTTGAAAAATAACTCCAGGCTATAAATAGAGACAGTAGGAATTAGGTACACTTCATTAAATTTGACAGCATTCAGAAGAATCATTAGAGAGTATATAAAGAGAGAGAGGAATGTTGATGCAAGATTGAATATTGATTCAGGGAGGTTGATATTTGTATTAGGTTGAGCATTATATCACTGCTTCTAGAGTAAATTTCCCAAAGGTGGAAGTGTCTTTCATGTAGATGAAATCCTCTTGCACAATTATAGTAACACAGCAGGCCTCCTTCCTAGGAATCCGCCTCTTGCGGTGAAAGTGCTGTGTTATCTGTTTTACTGTAAATTATCTGTGGGAGAAGTACTCTCTTCCTGGCCTATTTAATTCTGACTTTCTCTAGCAAATAGAGTGTGCTGCTTTTACTAACACCTCTCTTTCTAGACCTCTAACATCCCAGCCTTGCCTCAGATCTTGGTTCTCTACCTAATGGGAGAAGTAAAACTTCCTGCGTGTTTAATAGTAGCTGCGCATACTCACGGAGCGCCATGTGCCAGATATCGTCCGCACTGTGCGTACGTTGTCTCCCTGCTGCGCACTGAACCTGCTGTGAGGAAAGTGGGGTGCAGCGGGGTGAGAGTCACAGGCTCAAGCAGCCTGAACCCAGAGCTCACGTTCTTTACCACCACACCCTGCTCCTGCCGCTTTACATTTTTGCCCAAATAGGGCTTGTGTTGTTCTTGTTCTGTACCAGTTACCTCTGCCAAGAGTCTGTGCGTGTGCTCTGCTCCTAGCCAAGGCAGTGCCAGCATTTTACTCCTTAATTACAAAATTCCATCCCAGGCAGTTGTAAGTCCCTTGTTGGCTATTATAATGAAATCTGGTCATTTGGATTTTGGCAGCTTATAGGTTCTTAATTGATATCAAAAAAAATTCAAAAAGCCGGCCGGGTGTGGTGGCTCACGCCTGTAATCCTAGCACTCTGGGAGGCCGAGGCGGGCGGATTGTTTGAGCTCAGGAGTTCGAGACCAGCCTGAGCAAGAGCGAGACCCCGTCTCTACTAAAAATAGAAAGAAATTAATTGGACAGCTAAAAATATATAGAAAAAAATTAGCCGGGCATGGTGGCGCATGCCTGTAGTCCCAGCTCCTCGGGAGTCTGAGGCAGAAGGATCGCCTGAGCCCAGGAGTTTGAGGTTTTTTGCTACCCCTTCCTGGTTCTGACCCTCCATGCAATCTTAAGTTCTTCTATTTGTTTAACCAGCTATGTTATGTATTTTCACCCATCTTTTTGAATTTTTTTTTTTTTCAAGACAGAGTCTCACTCTTTTGCCCGGACTAGAGTGAGTGCCGTGGCGTCAGCCTAGCTCACAGCAACCTCAAACTCCTGGGCTCAAGAGATCCTCCTGCCTCAGCCTCCCGAGGAGCTGGGACTACAGGCATGCGCCACCATGCCCGGCTAATTTTTTTCTATATATTTTTAGCTGTCCAATTAATTTCTTTCTATTTTTAGTAGAGACGGGGTCTCGCTCTTGCTCAGGCTGGTCTCGAACTCCTGAGCTCAAACAATCCGCCCGCCTCGGCCTCCCAGAGTGCTAGGATTACAGGCGTGAGCCACCATGCCCGGCCGGTATTTGTCTTTTTTAAAAAATGTGTAGATATGTCATTTCAGAAGATCAAATCTTGAATGTCCTGAGCCCTATGGTGAGTAAAGAAAGGGAAAATCAGCGAATAGTGAAAAACACTGACATTCACCCTCTGGTTTCTCTGATCATCACTGCTTGGGGATGAGACAGAGGTACTGGAAAAGAAAAATCCTTCTACCATGTCTGTCCCAAACCCTCCAGTGATTTCCCTTCTCATTTAGAGTAAAACCCAAAGCCTCACCTCACACCATGGCCCATAAGGCCCTGTATCTCCGTACACACCACACATACACACATACTCTCTCTCTCTCTTCCTCTCCTCCCTGCCTCCTCACCAAGCATGCCTGCACATGTGTGCACACATACACACTCCTCCTAACCTCGTCTTCCTCCAGGTGCCCGCCTCCTCTAGTTCTCACGCTAGGTTCTCGTCCTTTGAACTTATGATTTCCTCTGGCCCTTTGTACTTGTTTCTTCTCTTTGGACCACACTCCCCCAGATAGCTGTGTGGCCTGTTCCCTGACTTCCCTCAGGTCTGTCAAAGGGTGGTCCTTGACCCCACTGTATTAACCATTATATGAA